TTAGGAAAAAATGCTTTAGGAAAAATTTAATCTCTATCTCAAATTTAATCACCAAATTCAATGTAAAACACATTACAATGTGCAAAACACATTGTAAATTTTGCAATTATGTAGACAAAAAGAAATCAAGACGACTGCTTGAGTATATTTTTCATATAATTATTTAAAATAATAAATTATACATATCTGCATTCTTAGACATTAGATATTTAATGCAAACTTTTGTCGTTATTATTTAATATTACGTGTTACGTATTAAAATAATTAAACTCGTTATAACTATTTCTTCCATATTGAGCGAGTTTGGTGATTGAATCTAAATTAAGATAGAGTAATTAATTATGAAATGTGATAATTAAATGTGATCACGAAGCAGCATATTTAGTGAACCAAAATTTCGAATAACCTGCACCATCTTTGCACTGAGTGCATGCAGAATTGTGTAAATGTACAAAATCTGCAGGTAAGATGTATATTTCCATAGTTAATTGCGCAATTTACCTCTTCACCGCCTTTCATCTGTATGAAGAAAGCAAACTAACACACCTTTATTATGTTGCGTGTTCACAACGTGGCCCTCCTTTTATGATTTATGTAAAGTCAACAGAGAAGTGAGTCAAGTATGCAAGTTGCTTCATTCCGTTTTTTCACTTGCATAGTTGTGCAAGTATTTGCACAACAATGAGTTCTTGGAACAATAAAGTCAACTAGTCAAATTGACATTGAACAGGAATAGATTTCAATATTGCAAAATGAGATTAGATATGTAATTATAATTGCAATGTTTCTGAATTTATTTTAGCCTATTTTATTAAAATTTATATATTGCATTTATTTAACATAGCCAAAGATGTTTAAAATAATTATTTCTACTTTTTTTCTGCGAAATATTCCAGTATAAGTAAAGCATATTTACGTTTTGATAATGTGATGAGAAAAATAAATATTTTTCGCAGCAGCTTGCTAGCTTTGCAGACCTGACTTGTTGTGTTAATTTGATATAAATGAACGTGTACATAAATGAGTATTGACTCTGCAATTTCCCAGCTGCAATTAAAAATACAATATGTCGGTGGCAACGCCGGGAAAATCCCGTCAAAGCTTCATTTCGCGAGAATATATCGTATACATATTACTGACCCCGCTTACTAATACCGCGAACGTGTTCTGTGTTTCAGCGTTAAGCGGCCTGGCGAATTCAACAGCAGGTATGTCGCTATGTACGTGTCGCATTGCCTGGTACAGTATTAACAATTACTGAATTAATTTCGATCATGCAAAAGGGGTCTTAATCTTGTTGACGGTCTGATTTCCCCATTTCGCTTATTTAATAGCCCGCGTGTACGTACGTGCGTGCGTGCGTGCATGCGCGCACTCCGCCGCTTTCCCTCTCCTCCGTTTCCCCCATCCCCCGAATTCCCTCATGTTCCTCGTTTCTATCTACGTTTCAATTTCCATGATGGACCTAAACGCACCCCCGTCTTGTGCGATCATACGCCGTATATAGGAGATTATTCCGAGGCTGAATTATCAAAGCGATCAATTCAATGCAATGAGCTATAATTAATGATCAATTACCAAATGATTAAGCGCATAGAAATTTTAAATAAGAATCAATTCTACCTAGATATTTTTAATAATATAATCATTGAATTTTATCTGTCAAATTAGTTTTTAACTTTTTACTTGAGTTTATTATACAGCTTTAAAAATTTTTTAACGATTTCTGATGTCGCATAGATTTATTAAATTAAATTAAATTGACGTACGATAACCAAAAATTGAGTCACTATATGTTGGAGCCATTGCACAGAAATTTGCATAACAGCATAATATTGCGTAAAATTTTTTCACAAAAATTATGTGTAATGTTTAATTAATCGAAACGCTTCTACGTTATATCTATATTATTATATAGATATGTAACGAGTCTAAGCTACAGGACTGTTACTTTTATATCGCACTAAATATGTCACACAATGAATGATATTACAATACATAATATACTGCGATTTCCTTTTATGTGAATATACACCGCAATTTTAACGATGCGTATTTTTTTTCGTGCATAGCTGCCCTTCTGGGGAAAACAGGAAATACAGGTGAGACCTACATGGAAGAAAAATTGTTTGGATGATTCGTCTTCTTTATCGTATCGCAAAACGTATTTTATACATATATCTTCCTCTTGAATTTCTTTCCCGTCAGTACTGCTCCTCCCCTATCACTTTTGTATATATTTCATAATTGTTTCTTGTATACTTTGTACTACAAGAAGATAATTATTGTTGGCTGCCGACTTAATCAAGCGGGTCTCTCCTGATTCTATTTAATACTACATTTTTCGTGCTGTACTTGTCACAGTTTTATTATTATTAAAAACTCTGAAAATCAAGAAGTAAACATAAAAATAGAAAACGAATAAAAAATAGATAGTGAAATATTTTTTTCTCGATTCAATTTAATTTTTTTAAATTTAACACATTAAAATACGATAAAAAAAAGATGATCAACAAATTTTGTAATTTGAAAAATTGTGACGATAGTTTTGTAACACTCTGTATGTATATTTTATCCACGAAGGTGAACAGCCGGGCCAATTAGTAACTCTTGCGCACTAGATTATTATTGTGAAAACTTTCGCGGACAATAAATTAATGCATTAATTGGCGAGACCCGGTTGGCGCTTTTAGGAACGTATAATACTTTTATCCTCCATCAATCGTATAAATCGTAGTTTTAACAATATATACGTATCGGACTGAATTATTGTGTGTGTATAGTTGAGATGTATTGAATGTATATGATTCTCTCGCACAAACGCTTATCGCAATTAATGGATGCATGATTTTTCGTTATAAGAGTTTAATCGGCAATAATATCTATGCATAATGGAAAAGAAAAGTAGGACTTTTCACAAAACGCTTATCGCAATTAACACAGGAATTGGCGCGTAACTTTTTATCACGTAAATGATCGCGCGGGAGAAGTATTTTATACTCTACTTCTGAAACGTTAATATCGTGCTGCGAATTTTAACTGTTAGAATACAGACCAAATTTCCGTTAAATGGGATATTTTATATGTATCACGTTGTAATCTTTTTTTGTTCATTCATACACGATAAAAATTTTTTTACAAATAAATTATTTTTAAATTTAATTTTAAATGCACAAAATTTAAATTTTGCATTTCACATTTGCATTAGTAATTTTAAAAATGTGGAAGTTGTTACATTTGAGTATTTATATAATAATTATATTTAATGTTAAGATTTAGTAATAATTCTAGTAAGATTATAAGATTGTTACTTTAAATTCCACTTTCGAAATAGTAATAATTTTAAACTATGAAATCCTACTTATGTTAGATGAACAGAAATAATCCTCGCCACTATTCATTGCGAAAGAAAAAGAAAAATGGTCATTCTATATTTAGTTTTTTGAATGAAATATATCTTGCTATCTAGTAGTAATATCTGGTAGAATTAATTCGTTGTATCGCACAAGTACGTTGCTTTCTGCCTCTAATCGTGATGACAAAACTCGGAGCGATAGCGATTGCCGTTTTCGCGATATCGCAGCATGCGAGGCATGTCTCGGAATTACTTAGGCCTGGGTATTATCGAAATTTGCACTTTAGGATCGGTAAAAAGTAACACAACATGATGTTCATTTTTAAGGGTCTACCGGGGGCAGTCTTAGTCCTGTGACATCCCTCACGCTCAATTCTTTGACGGGGACACCGCTGAACGGGCTTCAGGACTCGCTGAGCAATGCCTATTCCAGTTTGCAACAATACGCAGGTAATTATTCGGCTCGTTCAATCACTTTCGATGTGCACAAAGAATCACTAAACGCAGTCCAGACTATTTTTCTGTAATCGCGTGAACACACAAAAAGTGCTACTTTCTAACGAATAAACTGTGCGCATTAAAGCTCTCATTGGAAAGACGACGGTGACCGTGGAAAAGAAAGAGTTGCATAGTGAGTAATAGCATATAGATTATCTGAATATACATTTCTGTGAATTGAGCCATGTTTTAGCGTCAAGTTATTCATATGGTTGACTTTCGGATTAACATATTTTTGTTGTGCGCCACGATACATAAAATTATCTGAAAAAAATTTTGGTGATGTTTAAAAAAATGATAATTTTCGCTTATGAAAATGTCATTTGATATCGGACATCATTGATAATGCACTAAATCAGGCGTCTCGTGGAACATTTTGTAAAATCGATGCGTACGCGAGATATTGAAATTAGCCAATTAATTTGTGATTAAAGCAATTAATCACCGAAAGTATCGGAATATCCGCAATACGGGATTATAAGAGTGAACCAAATGAATGCTTGAAAGAAGACAACCGATAGGCTCTGCATGTGCCTATTGGAATATCCACGTATCTCCCTACGCACAAAATACATTGGTGAAAAAAATGTAAATGTGTATGCTACAATACCACGGCGAATATTCGAGAGCTTATAAAATCGCATTTGTATCCTCTTACAGTGCCGTGTATATAGTTTGTAATTTAATTTTGTAATTTCAATATTTAATTATTGTAATGTATCAATATTTAATTATTTTTCATTTTATCCCTCATCATCGTGCAACATGCTTATTTGCTTACGGTAATATTATTGGGAGCAGATATAAATAGATCTAATTAAATATATCCAATTAGTTGAATCTGTTTGGTGTGTCTCTGTAAGCTGGGACGCGCCAAGCGTCCAATACGTAGAATCGTATTAATAACCCAGCTGTTTATCGTGAAGTGGCATAAATCAAGTTTTAAAAAATAAATAAGTTCATAAATAATTAGCTCATAAATGTACTTATATCTACTTGCGTAACAATATCAAGACAGTTACACAGACAGATAGTAAAAACTGATGAAAGCTCGTTAGATTTTCCACATTCGATTTACGTCGCTTCGAAATATTAGAATTGCATCCTCCAATTGTATGTGTTGTGCGTACATCACTAATAATATGTTCGATTTTCAGGGTTCCCCGCGTTTACGGCGGCTGCGGCTGCCGCGGCAGCAGCGGCGCAAAAGACAAAGTTCACCAGCACGGACAAGCAGATCGAGGGTCCCGAAGGTTGCAACCTCTTCATCTACCATCTACCGCAAGAATTCAGTGACACGGACCTCATCTCTACCTTTTTACCCTTCGGCAATGTCATATCCGCCAAAGTTTTTATAGATAAGCACACGCACATGAGCAAATGCTTCGGTGAGTTGAATTTAATATAGTCGTTGAATAACGAAAGGAATAAAATACGAATATTTAAAAATATTGCATATTTATAATAATAATAATATGCAGATAGCTTCGTAACGAATACGATTGACACGAACACGATATGGACGAATGGAATGTATAATTCTGCATTTTGCAATACTGTTTCAGGTTTCGTATCGTATGACAATGCGTCGAGCGCGCAAGCGGCGATCCAAACGATGCACGGTTTCCAGATCGGCATGAAACGACTGAAGGTCCAGTTGAAACGATCCAAGGACGCCTCCAAGCCGTACTAGCCGATGTCACAGAGCGTTCGTAGGTAGATACCAAGGACTTCTCGGACACCTCGGACATCTTAATCGGGACAACGCTCGTGCGTTTAATTAATGACCGCGATGGTTGAATATTATTCCGTAACGGAATCGCATCTAACGATAGGTCTAGGTAGACAAACCAAAGTATTAGGTGGCGGTATTCCACGATGTTCTCTAGTCAAGCGATATTTTCCACGAAGGTAGCGAGCTGACGGGTTTACGATCAAGCGTCTTTGGACGCCGAAGAAGAGACGTCGCCGCTCGGCACCTTCGCCGTCCTATCGAAACGAGGCTGTGATAATCTAGAAGACTCTCTTGTTCGTCGGACTGACTTTTCTTCCGAGGTGCAGGAACGTAATTTATCCTTTTAATATGTCGCTTGTGCGAATTGTCCCGCCGAATTGTCTTCTCTCTTCTACCTGCCGGTCAGCCCATGTGTGAATTTCAGTACATTTTTAATCCAACAATCTGTTTATTCTGTTCACGTTTGTGCCACGTTGCGATCGTGTGTCGCAATTACATCAGTTAACCTTTTCAGTGCCAATATAAAAATCCTGCTTTCTTCGGTAATCCATTCCAGTAATTTTACAGGAGACAAGATAGGATTTTAACGAATTAGTATTAGTAAATTATTATTTTCAACGGCTTAATTTCGTAGCCTATGATGACCAATTTTAGAGAGTGTGATCGGAAATCTTAGAACACATTCAGATCTATTAAATTCAATGAGATTTAATTAATCGAGATTATTCAGCGCGTGATCAATTTAATTAAATGAGCCATTTATCTCGAAAGTGACTTTATACATTGAATTCTGAGAGATTAATATATGTGTTAATTTATCGTTTATATTCTCGTTAAAAGAGACTATGTATGCAAGAGTTACACAATTATATATTTTATTATGTTCTTATGAAAAAGAAAGTTGTGTGTAATGGACTTGGTGTGATTGTGAGGGATGATATTTATTTTAAATAGAAACACTTTCCTTGCTTTCTATTTGTACAACAAATTCAATTAATAACTTTCAAAATAAATGGCTCTAGTATGAAATACTTTTGAAGGCTTCTCTGTTCGTGCGAAATAAATAAAGGTTTTTCAAGTTTAGATTAAACTCGGACGTATTCTTAAAAATCAGCTTCTTGATAGCGCATATTGAGCGTTTAAACGTGCTTATTCTTTTTTTTTTGTACTCATCTTATCTAGCACAAAGAACACATTTAGATAAATACACGATGTAAGCCGGACAGCCATGTTCACGCTAAATGCGCGATGGTACAATACGGGCCTTTCAAATTATAATATTCGCCCGTATTTATCGCACGGTGTCGAAAACATGTTCATCTCTTTCGAATCTCAAAGGTGCAAGTCTGGCGGCACGTTTCCCGGATGATGCAATCAAACTACATCTCGTTGCAAAGGCTGCCAGTAAAGCTTTCTGTGCTAACTTACTGTTGCACAAGTGGAATTACGTACGTGAAGTTCACTAACATACGTAGCTTTTTCCCCCCAGGAGAGTAAGAGTAGTTCGCTTTGAATTTTCACGCAGCGTTCAAGTCGTACCTTGTAACCATTTGACGGTTTGACTTTTCTTTCTGTTTTTTTTTTCTACCTGTATTTTTGTAATTTATCTTTTTCTATCTCTTTGTCTCTCTCTCTCTCTCTCTATCTATCTATCTATCTATCTAGCTCTCTATTTCAATAACCGCATAGTTTGTGAACCGGTAGTTGAGCCGGAAGATACGAGCGATACACACAAGGATCTACCTCACTCATATTGCAATTATGTCAGCAGCTATTATACCGCGTGTATCCTTGGTTCAGTGTTCGAGGCGCACAGAATTCGATACGTTCTCTCACGTGATAATAATATCACTAAGTTTTTTATGGTTAATCACGCTACGACGCTTTATTAGTTAGTAGTACTAACATTGCCATGTGATTTTTTTAAGGGGAGGGGGGGAGGGGATACAAGCCGATTGTCGCAAGCGGTGGAAAAGCCGATCGTTTCCGTTAAAGTATCCGTGCACATTAAAACATTTGCACGTTAAAACGAGTGCTCTACTTATTGTTTCTGTTATTGTTGCAATTTCTGCATCTATCGAGACAATCGAGAATGAACAGCTTCGACAACGAAGCAACTATTGGAGATGTTGTCTGAACGATTACTGTCTGTAATTGTCCGTGATTGTTTGTAATTCGAATTCTGGAAACCATCGGCGAATTTCACCGACCGCGTTGCATTGGCAACGAGTTTCCACCGATGCGCTATCGAGCACTTTGTTTCTCTTTCCTTGTGACTGTCTATCAAGCTGAACAAAGTGGATGCTCGTTGCTCGTGTCTAAAAATTCGGCGAAACACCTGTGTACACGACGCACGACGTTGTTGGTTTGGCGGCCCTGCGACTGTTACCCTTCAATCTTTTGATGGTTGAAGCAATTCTGTACATTGTACTATGTCTAAAATACTATCTTATTGAATTGTTTTCATCTTGAAATAATTTTATCAATCTTTTGAGTTTTTAACTATTAGTATGAAAGATGGTAAAATTGTAAAATGATAATTCCCTTGAAAATATTTTTATTTACTTTTTTTTAATTAATCGTAATATGCTATGTATTCATGCTGTGCCAAACGATAATAATTGAATCAATTCGAGAGTGAGAAAGTTTGCTGTGAAAATTGGGCAAACTTGATCTCGCGGGCCTCCGGAGAAACCATCACCGCGTGCGCGTCTGCTCGGGGATGAATTTTCATATCTGGTGTGTGGTGGTGACTAACATGTCCGTGTGTTTGTTTGTGTGCCAGCAGGTGGCCTGTGACGTTGTGACCGTGTACTCTCGATCGGAGTCGCCGTGCCATGTCAGTCTCAGTCAGTCAAATCGGTATCGATCGTTCACTCGACCGGCCGATCGATCAGTCACGATTACCCGGTCAATCTCTCGATCAATCTATCTGTGTCTGTCGGTGCCTGTACAAAGAACAACACCCGCCCACGCGCTCTCACTTTCGCCGTAAGATCCTCTGCCCTGTCGATCTCTTTTCTCTCTTCATCTCATCTCTTTGATCTTTCGCGCGTCCACATCACCTGTCTACGAAATCGCGATATATTATCGCGCCGAAAGGATTGCCACCGATCCTTCAAAAGTTGCGCTTTGTCCTCTTGATCGCGGCTGCGCACGTGAAACGCCGAACGCATCCTCAAACTCAGAGGAGAAATTAATATGTTGGACGTATGAAAAGCCGCGACCGAGAAACTGCGCACAACTGCGCGCAGAGGAACACGACGAAGAGGGCCAAGAAAGTGGAACGAAAAGCGGAGGACAATGCACCGACGATCGAGCTGGGTTCCTCGAACGAAGCTACACGCTATATTAATTGTCTGTCCAATTTTCCCCTGTGTATATATATACAGATATATAAATATATTATACAAATATTGTACATACACATATATATGTACGTGTGTATGGTATGACGTGTGTATTCGCGTGTGTCGAGAGCGCGATAAGGATTCTCGTGGCTGCGATGAAAGAGAACGAAAGGTCGAAAAACGTACAGCACGAGTTGTGCGAAAAATTTCTTATACATAAATATACATATATATATAAATATATATAGGTATACATATATGTTCATAAATCGAATTATTGACTGAGAACTATTTTTATCGGCTCTACTGTCGGGATCGCTGTCAGCGCCTCGCAGCGCCTGTTTATATTTATAAAATATACATACACACACATATATATGCGCCGCGGCGAATTAATCGTGTCGGCGAGATGAAACGTGTGTGTATAAAAAAAAAACGCGAGAGACAGAGGCTGGGAAGGAAACGCGGACGAACAATGATCGTGCGGGATCGGCGCGCGTGCGATTTCTTAGACTTAGATCGTGCAAAACATACCAAAAAACGAAACTGATACAAAGAAAGAAACAAGACCGAGAAGTAGCGGAGAAGCGAGCATAAGAGACACATTTTGTAGTAATTTGTGATAAGATTGTATTGTAAAAGGGACCGGACATAGGGCCGCGTTCTGACCTTGTGTGAAACTCGATGGTTCCATGTGGAACTACCGGGTCAGATCGCTCAGAAGTAACACATCAAGCGTCACGTATTCGCGCGTTAATGCACACGTTCCATTCTATATTGTCATCAGAAACATTCGTGAACTTAAACAAGTACTCGAGATGCGACAAATTTTTACGAATTTTAACGAGTTTTCACTGATTCGGCGCACTCTTATTATTCTTTTCGTTAAGTGCATTTTACGCGATTAGTTTTAATTCTTCGCGAAAAACTGGATATGGGACTGATCGGACGAATGGAAAACTTTCATATACCGACGCAGTATGCAAAATATGCAATGACAGAAGGGATTATCAAAATAGTTGCGAACAATGTCGCAATTAGAAAAAAAAATTTATTCGAGCAGGGTTGCGAAATAAATTGGAAAGTAATTGACAAAACACTTTGAATTTAAAAAAATTAAAAAGTTCTGTTGTCGATTACGAATCAGTTTGCGGAAACCTCGGGTAATTATAAATTAACAACGCGCTTCTACATGAGATCTATCTTTGCATTATTTTTAAGACAAAATCGATGATTGCAACTTCTATCATATCTTATCGAGAAGAAACGGATGTTTCGATATTTACTTTGCAAATAATGTAGTTAACTTTGATTCAATTAAAATAGATATTAAACATCTTGCTTTTAAGTGCAAATAAGATACAAGTGACAAAATTTTAGATGTTGTGTGAGTATTATCGAAATCGCGGAGTACAGATCAATTATTATAAATATTTTCAACTGGATATGTGTGACAGACGCGAAAATCGATTGTATGATGAAGCTGTGCGATAATTGTATTCGAACGAATCAAAATTATCGTGCATGGATATACACAGGGTTAGTGATTAAAAATAAGTCATTTTCTAAGTGCTCTAGTCTGGATGTGAAAATGCTTTCGTGGATATTAATCTTAAAGCTGATCGCAAAATTAAGTCGCGTTATATGTAACAGGAAGATTAATACTTCGTGGAATCTTCGAATTAGCACAAAACAATATTCTTCTTTTTATAATCCAAATTTTGAAATTATTATTTTCCGATTATGCATATACATAAGCGAAATTTATTATGTATGGTACTCTAAATTTTTGGAATATGATTTTCTTTTAATATAAATTTTGAACAATTTAAAAAAATTTTTAACTGGTAGATGTATGCGATCGATTAATGTTAAAAAATATTATTGAGAATTGATAAATCACGTCCACGAAACGCTAGGTACTTAATTACATTACACGGAAACAGACATTCCAAATAACAAAAAAGTCCAAAAAATACTTCGAAAGTCGTTAAAAAAAATATCTTGATTTTTCAGATTTTATTTTTTGCTTTTCAGAATTTTTTTTTTTTTATATTTTTTGGACTTTTTTATTTTTTGTGAGATAAACGCACGAATATCGATTGACGAAGTGTTTTTCTCTACGTTCCCTATATTTTACACAATCGCCAAAACCATTTAAAACTGCTTTTTTTCCGAATTTTGTCTACAACGTTATCCAAACGATAAAATTTTGCGCAACTTTCTTTCGAAGAGCTTTGTTCCTGAAGAAGGGATATCCAAGCTATATTTTTTTTTATTCTAACGATTGTCGTGTCGCGTGACGTTTCATGATCATTGTTCACATCTCAAATTTCAACAATATACATATCTTTTGATTCCTTTTTCTCGTGTAATCTTATCTATACAGCATTGAAGCAAATTTGCTGCATGCATTCAATTATAGGATGGCAATAACTTTTTTATTTTTTCAAAAATATTAGTTATATATCACTGTATTATTTTAGATTTTTCTAGAATATCTTAAAATAGGACGATCTATTTTAAGATTAATTCATTTTAATTTTAATATTATTTCTATTTTGAGAGTTTAAGAGAAAGAAAAAGCATGAAATTAAACATAAAATTGTATTGTCATTAATTAATGGATATGCACATATGTCGATATAAATTACAAAAAAAATTATATTACATTTTAAATCGAGCATGTTAAATAATGATTCTTCAAAATATATTTAGAAAATTAATTAAACTAATTTTGTCCGCATTATCATTAAATTGCCATTAACGATTGAATGTATGTAATATTGCTTTATTACCAACAATATTAACATGCACACGTGCATCAGACCAAATGAACGGAGCAACCGGCGTTGCATTTAAGATTAATACGAGAAGATGAGTTTTATTTTGCATTTGCGATGAGCAGAGAACGTCGTGCTCCGTACGAATTACCAAAGAGATGTCTTTAATTAATTGATGTACTTATGCAATGCTAATGACTAATCCACGCCAGTGTTGATTGTTTACGCATAAACAAGATTGTTTTTATTTTTATTTCATCACATGTAACGTAAGCAGGCAAATGACAAAAAGCAATAACTGTTTATTATTTGCACACACGCACATCCCGTGTGCTCAAAACACATAATATTACATTATGTAAGTCTAATTAAACTGAGAATTTGAAGATTATAAATTATAAAATCCAAATTATCCAAAAATGAAACTAAAACCGATTGGTAAAAGATAGTATAAGCATTTAAAATGATTTTTGGCATTGCAAGTGATCATTAGACGTGCAATATCTCAAAATAATATGAGTGAGATATCATAAATTTTACGAAGGAATAGTTTGGATCTTTAAGACATATGCGCAAATAATTAACATTGATTTACACACATTAAGTCGATTGACTAACAATAGAAAACGAGCACGCGTACATATTAGTCTTGTGCGTACATACAAATAGAGCCTAGTCACAAATATCGTTAACAAAATCGAAAAGTCGTTTCTATGTTCGTGTCATTATCATCATCGTCCTGCAGCACGTGCGTTGACATTTTTTTGTTAATGCTGTTACGTTTATTATGGCTATTGCTATGTTTATCCTTCTTAGTTATATCTGTTATTCTAATTTGATTATTTCTATTATTAGAATTATTGCTATTATTCCCAATTATGATTATTATTATTTTATTATTAGTATTATATAATTATATTACTATCTTTGCCAATAATGATGATCATTTATTGGCATCTATTATTACTATTATGACTATTATTTTTATATGTATTATCACGAACACTGCGCGACAGCGATCGCGATTATCGCCTGTTACTGTTGCCGATATCGATCGCTCGCTTGTTTAGTGCCGCGATGGCAGACTATCAGTTTAGATGTAAGTCAGGATCAGGTTACCCAGATATTTTTATATCTGTTCAAGACATTAATGTACGTACGAATGATTTCATTCATTATCAAAATGAATCGCGTATTTGTGCGATTATTAAACGGTCAAATAAGGATCACTTATTGAAATGGTCGTTCCTACACGAAGTATACGTTATAATAGCATGGGATAATATATACTATGGACGTTAGACATTTTTCTTTCATTTCTTGTCACTTCTGCATTAGTTTATTTTTACATTAGTTATCCAAAGATTGGGTCAAATTGATTGTCAAACTGAAGTGTTCGAAATGTTCCCTTCATCATTTGGTAAAATAAATCACACATAAATGCGAATGACAAATATTATAACACACTATTGTTTCTTCTTCATAAATACAAAAATTTTTATATTGTAAGAAAATAGGAATGAAGAATTAATTTTTTGCATTATTATAAGATAAAATATTCTCCATTCTTATATATTTAACTAGAAAATATGAACTTTTGCCTTTGCATTCTTATATTATAAATATTATTATAATATTAAAATAACTTAAGTAATTTCGCCACATATTAATAATATAGATTTTCTTTTTTCTCTCGCACACGAACCAATCAATTCGGTGATCCTGTTCGACCGATATTTGCAACGGCACGGCCATCAAATCACTATTTTTTATCTCAATCTAAATTTATATTAATAGATTATGTTCTTGTTTCTAAATGTTTGAGCTATTGCTTCGTACGACTACTGTTATACTGAGTATATCATTTCTGCGTCGTCAACAATCTGTCGTGCTTCTTTATTTTTATTTTCTTATATGCGAAAAGTCGAATTTGTTCTTTTTTTAATTTGTTCGTCCATTGCGTTTCTCTCCTCTGGTGCAAAATGTATACCTTTTTTTTAATCAAAAGATAGGATGCGTCCTGATCGGAGCTATCAAGATGATTAATTGTGTCCAGTGAAGTGCAAATAATTGTAACATATTGAGTGCTGGTTATTATTTGCATGTAAACACATTTTCTAAAATATTTTAGTTTTCTAGAAAAAAGGAAAATAGTAATTGAATCAATTAAAGGTAATTGTTGATCTAATCAAAATGATTAACTAATTAAGACCCGAAATTTGATGACCAGTGTGCTCACATCAAAGTGATGATGATAAGATATCAAAATGATTTTGTACCAAAATATCTAAATTCTTTTAGTGTCAGATATTTCTAGCACCCAGCATGTTAAAACCGTTGCTTTGGATATTGCAAATCGTGTGATGTTTCGTACTTAAACAGTTGCAGGAAGTACTTATACGTATAAAATATAACTTCTCAAAAATATTTGAACTATTGAGGAGAAATGTGTAATTTATGAAAATATTCGACGAAAAACATTTTTTTTACGAATTTACAACCTGCACGTTTACTTAGACAATTGACGTATTTTATTGATAACTATTATGTTAAAATGTGTGATAACGTTCTATATTACAAGTGAATGCTACCAACGTGTATGTGACTTAAGTTGAAGACCATCAAGGTACTCCGAAAAACGCAATTAATCCTATCTTTTTGATGAGATCAATTTGATCCTCGACGAAAGACAATCGTGCGAGTAGAGTATCGAGACTTATCGCTGTGATTACTCCACGTGCACAATGCGATGGCTTTCCACATGCGTGCGTGTGTATCTGCCACGTACAAACGAGCACTCATGTTCGGGCATTAAGTGTTTTTGTATTTCTGTACACATACAGACGTATACATATGATGTGAGTGCCTGCGTGCGCGATGATGTTTATCGCCTTCTGTCGTCGCGTTTAACGCCGCTCCGCGCGTTTATTCTTAAATCTACATTTTTGTTTAGTACCTTCTTCTTTTTGTTCATTTCTTTTTTGTTTAATTGCTAGCTATTTTTCGTTTTTAAAGAGCCGGCGGCGAAACCGCGGAGACCGTCGGCGTTATATCGTTGAGTATACATATATATTTTTTTTCTGTTTTGCTTGGTCTACAGCGCGATCAGTATATGTGGCGTATGTTGAAAATAACAATACATATATTTATTTTGTTGTTTTAATTCTTTTTTTTTCGCTTTACACTACCACGATCCTGATCCTCT